ACATCTCCTAAATCAAACTTTCATCTTCCACCAGACTTAAGAGCAGACTGGCCGAATGCGTGGGGCTATTGTATAAAGGATATATTCTGATTCTACACTCAACTTGAAAAATAGCTAACCTTCCCTAGGATGTTGGCTAACTCAGGAGTGGGACTGAAAATCCAGTTACTGGGTGGACGTGGCCATGGCCTAGCCAGCTCCCTGCACCATGCGGTGTGTGTGTGTGTGTGTGTGTGTGTGTGTGTGTGTGTGTTTTCGCACTCCCCAAACTCAGGTTTTCCTCGAGCCTCCAGGAGGGAGAAAATGGCCTCCCTTGGGCTCCAGAGGCTGGAAACACACCCATTTCCAGACTTCTAGTACTTTCAGGAGGCCCGTTTTTCACCCTCTGAGCCTCCGCGCAGGCCCTGCACTTACCTGGCATCGAAAACGGGCCACGTGGAGACTCTTGGGAAGAGCGGGGCGGAGTGGAGCCAACCGGTCGTCAGAACTACCGGTTCGGTGAACCAGATTAAAATTAACAACCGGTTTGTCCAAACCGATCCGAACCGCCTGAATCCCATCCCTTAGGCTAACTCTTACTATGGAGACAGGTTGAGGTATGAATGAAGAACCACGCAATCCTTTTGTCGGTCACAATGGAAGGCGTTTCCCTGCTGGATATCACCCTGGTTTTTTTTTTTAACGATTTTCTCCCCTCAGTCAAAATCTCATCTTTCTTTGGAAACGATTTGGGTTCGGAACCCAAGCTGCATCAGGTCTGCTCAGGCTTAGGAAGTCCCCCCCCTCCCCAAACAGGCAACACCCCAGAATACTGGACCCCATCACTTCTGCGCTGTGGCAAGGGACGCAACCTGGACCCGAAATGGACAGTGACTCAGAGGAGACCTGCTTGTAAAGTCACCGAGCAGGAAAGAAACATCACCTATAGCTTAGCTATACCCAACAGTGAGGGAAAGGAATTCTCCGAAGTCATCCAGCAACCGCCATCCACCACAAGCGTCGTGCCGGTCACGTAAGACGAGAGGGGGCTAACCAGATAGAGGACACTGTGAGCAATCTCAGTCTTGTTCCCGGCCCGCTGAAGGGGAATGTTCTGGAGGAAGCCGCCGGAATCCAAACCGGGTACAACTAGAACAAGAGAAAAGCACAACGTTGGCCCCTTTAAGAAGAAACAGGAGCATGGAAGGACGTCAGCCCACAGATCAACACAGTGGTCTCCACAGGGTGTGGTCCCCACGAAACAAGATGGCGGCCAACACAGTGTCATGGTTAATGTTAGGCAATCCTGAGGGAATGGTTAGCGTGCTGAGGGGGTTCTCTCCACCTTTTTGAGCTTTTAAAGTTTTTAACCCTGCAACCCTATCTTTTAATTCTGTGTTTTTTTTTCAATCAAGTTTTTTATTTTATTTTATACTATTTACACATATCAATGTGTGAATGGTGTGGTACTGGGTATCATACATTTCAATACAAATAAAACATAATCTTATTACTCCTAATGACATTTCATTTTCATTATTTCATATTGTTTACACATACCTTTTACTGTTACTCTTCAATCAGCTACTCTTTTTTCTGTTCTTCTGCACATCTTAACACAGACACACATACTTATCCCCCTCTTAATTTCTGTTGTGGCCCAGCAGGAGCCGTTGGAGCTGCCACCAGACTCCGACAGCGAGGGACCATATGAGTCGGCCCTGGAGGATGAGCAGGGCGCAGAGAGACTGGTTGGCCACCAGGTGGCGCCTGAACCTTGGACCAGTGGGGAGGAGACAAGGGAGAGTGATCCAGAAGCCAGCAGTGAGTTGTTCCTGGATTCACGCCATCGAAGAGCTACTAGGCGTCAGGAACAATTACGCAATTACAGGAGGTAATTGTGCTCAGCTGGACTATAAAAAAGACTGCTTGTGACACGCCCCTCTTGCAGAAGTCAACGCATTGACTAAAGAGAACGTAACTAACTTGGCAGGCTGGAGTGGTGCCAAGGTTTGTCTGAATTGCTGTCAAGGTTTGTCTGAATTGTTGCCAAGGTCCTTATCTGT